ACACATCCACTGCTTCTTCCTCCACAGTTGCTACAACACCAACGAATACAAAAGATTCTTTAACAAAAAATGCAAAAGGCGATTCTAATCAAAAAGATTCTAGTGGTAATATTTTCTCTTCAATATTATTTCGAGTTAATTTTCTCTATTTTCTGCATGTTTAGATGATGAATCATCAAAGCATTCTGATGGTAAGTTTTTGAAAGTTATTATTAATTTATTAGGGTTTCTATTTTTCATTGTCATTTAGATTCACAGTCAGTTGTGAATAACAATCGTGATGGAAAAACAAGTGATCAAAATGAAAGTGACGAAGAAGAGCAGAATGAACGAGAAGTAACAACAGCGACTACGTCTGCAGTTAGAAGGTCTGGTTCAAAAAATCAAGCTAGGTCAACGGGGGCAACAACATCCAATAATGAAGAAGATACATTTCTAGAAAAATTTCAACAACAACAACGAAAACGTGAAAAATTAGAAACAAAAGCAAAAATTAGTCATCGCGTATTTTGTCCATTTTTTCCAGAGGTATGTTGATTTATTTACAATATACGTGAAATGATAATTTTCTCGTTTTTGTTTAGATTAAACAAGAATGTTGGTGGCTCTATGTTGCTGATAGAAAACATCATACTTTAATAAGTGCGCCAGTTTATCTTTGTACATTAAAAGATGAAGAAGAAGTAAGTTATATGACGAATCAACTGGCACCATGTGATTCGTCTTACGTAGGTTAATGTCACTAGACTATTATCAAAGGTGTGACAGTTGTGGCAGATAGATTTTACCACTTCTCTACTAAAACTAGTCATTAGTAGGCAGGCAACGGTTACGGTTAAGCAGTGTGTTCATTCCACTGTTTTTGACCCGAAATGATTTATGTCTGAACAGAATTTGTCAGTTATTCAGCGAAATTTGTCAGCTTATATGACTTTTAGTAAAAACGAAAAAATTCCCATTTGTACTATCATTTTTGGGATAAAAGAATAAACTTTTTTCTCGAGTACAAGTACGAGTATAATCATTCTGATATGTGCACAAACATTTTCGCAAATGTTTGATTATGTATGTCCTTTATCTTTTTAAGGCGACAGCGGAGTGATTCTCTCCTTTTGATTGCTAGGTTACTATCATCATGTTTTCTTTCTATTTTTCTTTGACTGTTTATTAGACCATCCTTTTTGCTTTGGTTCTGACTTAAAATAGTAACAAGAAAAAATAAACTAGACATAGACTTTAACGTTTCAATCGTAGTTCAAATTAGTCTGCATAGAGACAAAAACGGAATGTTATTATTCCCTTGACTATCGTTAGAGTAATGATCGGTTTGTGCGTGACGGGTAGCAACCACTTATAAATATTTGCTTGTATTCAGAATACGTTTGCTTAAATTAAAAACTTAGTCAAAACACTAGTTCCATCTTATTACATTATATAAACTATTCCAAAAAATAGTCAAGGGTTGCAGTGCGACACAAAGTGCCAAATATTATCTTGTTTAGCTAACAAAAGCAAGAATTGACTTTTTAAATCATTATGCAGTAATTATCTTACTTTCTCTTTCTCTTTCCCTTTCTCTTTATCATTTTCATCGTCTTGTTGTTGATTTTCTACTAGAATCTGATGTTGCTCATTTGAAATATGGTGTTCTTTGTTAAATAATACTGACATATTTTCTCGTGTAAGTTTTACAGTTAATGTAACAACAGCGCCGGTTGTCACTAAACGTTCGTCTTCATCATCAAAAACTAAAATAAGAGAATAACTGTTAAATTCATAAGTCTAGTAACGTAAATACAGGAAATCAAATAAAGTGATAAATTATTAATCTTACGACGACACCTATCCAAGTGATACCTTCCGATTTCCTTCGTTCATACGTGATCTATAGAGGGTGTCGGGCTAGTAAAAAGCCTAAAAGGATTTTTCTCCATGACCCTTGAAGACTCATGTTTCTGGTAAACCAGTTTTTTAGAAACTCTAAAAAATAACCAAATTTTTTCTTAATGAGGCTTAATTGTAGCCCACAAATTTCTGATTAAAATGAGACATCTCCCAGCTCTGCACGACCTTTCTTTGCAAAGTTATAGAACTTACAAGAAAAGCCCTAAATGTTCGTCAAAGGTACAGAAATAAGAAGAAATTAATTTAGAACTTTTCTTGTAAGTTCTATAACTTTACAAAGAAAGGTCGTGTCGAGCTGGAAGATGTCTCATTTTAATCAGAAATTTGTGGGCTACAATTAAGTCTCATTAAGAAAAGTTTTGGTTATTTTTTAGAGTTTCTAAAAAACTGGTTTACCAGAAACACGAGTCTTCAAGAGTCATGGAGAAAAATCCTTTTAGGCTTTTTACTAGTCCGACACCCTCTATAGATCACGTATGGACGAACGAAATCTGAAGGTATCACTTGGATAGATTTCCTCGTTAGTAAAAGTTTTCTATGATCACGACATCTATTACACACCTTCCGATTTGACTTTTATTGTTATGTATGGATATATCTTTAAAACACTCATGATGTCATCATATTGTTCATCACTTATACTTCTTAACATCGAACGACGTTGTTCATCATTCATTGTAGCAAATTGTTTGATGGATTTAATTGTACGCTAAATATCAACAAAAAAATGATCAACACTAAATTAACAGTAAATATTATGATACATACTTTTTTTGATTCAAAATATCTTAAATGATTTTCTGTTATATGTGGAAGTTGTAATAATGGACTCTTTGTATTCCATAGTGCTTGAACAATCATTGGAGATAATTTCATTGTATTTTCAATTGAGTCCAGACGAGGTGGATGAGAAACTATAATGTAATGCATAACACATTGAAGTAAAAGATAAGTCAAAATGAATATATTAATGAAATAACTATAACAAAACGTAGCTCTCGATTTTTGTATTGTCAAAACAAAATTCAAAGACTAGAAGGAAAAATCTCCACTATACTCTATTTTTTTATATTTAAATCGGCAAATCTGATCAGATATAGAGTTTTGTAGAGAAACTCTTCGAAAATAATTTGGTATATTTGGTATACCTATGCGATTTAACTTGTATTGAGACAAAATTATCAATATCAGCTGTAGAGAATTGAAAATGTTTTCTCTTTGTATATTGCAGCATCATTTAATGTTTGTTATTTTCAAAACAAGTTTAAGATTTGTCTCGTTTCATCCTCACATCCGACAGTATACTTTAGAAGAAAAAAAAATGTATATAATTGAACAGGGCTACGGTATTACGGTCAGTACTCACTATAAAAAATGATCAAATCGACTTCAATAGAACTCATCATGTCGGTCACATTTTCAACCAACTAGTTGCAAGAAAACAAAGAGATGCAGTTATACTAGAGACACACTAAGATATGTTCTCTTACACTAAATGTTAAAGTCAATGAGTTTTGTAAATAGGACAAAAAGATTTCAATGCCTATTTAATTTTTGTCAATAAAGAGAAGACATGCAGTTGCGAAATGGTGTTTAAAACTTACGTCTTCCAGCGTGTGCCATAGCGACAAGTTGTGCCTCGATATTAACCATTTCATTGATTAAATATGGGCATCTTTTTACCACATATTTTCTATCTAAAATAACAAAAATAACAACACAGATGATAGATAATTTTATTGACAAACAATAAGATAGTCGTAACAAACAAACCTTTTTCTAAATTTTCACTTAAATTTGTTATACGTTGAAGATGAGAATGTAATAGAGCACGAGCTTTTAAACTATAAGGAAACTGAAATGGACGTTCTTTTGTTTTTTCTTGTACATCTGGTAAATCTTTTATTAACTGAAATAATGTAATGAATTACAAGTGTATTTATAAACGAATATTTAATTTAGAGAATATTTACTTTAGGCAATTCAGTGTTATCACTTGGACGTTCGATAATCGCTGGATTTCGAGTTTTTTCGAATTCCATTGATGAGGCCAATATCATCAGTGCACCTAAACAGTGAGAACATACATACACACACACACACATATATTTTTTTGTTACAAATAAGCATAAATGACAGAAGAAGAATATGAATAGATCAAAAGAAGAACGTTGTTTTTCTGTGAGATATATAGGTAATTAAGGCCACTACGTTAATGTATGTTCATGCAGCGACTCGATTAGTCTCACTCGTGCATTATGGTTTCGTTACTTTTCTCCTTAACCCTTGTACTCCCAAGCCTATTTTAGACACAACAAACAGAATGTATTTCATACTTCGATCCATGTAAAAAAAAATTTCATCTCATTTTCTTATTTTTTGAGGACAGGGTCTAAATAACCCTCATTGGTCTACAAAATATTTCAATAGGTCAGTATAAAGAGAATACTGAAAACATGGCAACGTTTACAAGCGTTATGCGACTTCAAACTACTGTATCCAGCAAACATCGTATCGATATTGAAAAGAGTGTCTCAAATTGGAAGAAAAAATTTGTTTCTCATATAAGAAAAGTACTATGCTTCTGACATGAATGAGAAAACTGTCTAATAAAGATTTCTTTATATCGTCTGATGTACAAATGTATGAAGTTATTAAGTATCTACAATAAGACGGACGAAAATTGAACTAACTCATGCTAACCATAAATATAAGAATACTGTAAAAAACAACATGAAAATAAATTAATCTAAAGTATCGCATGAATCGAAGTGTGTTCACCATACAGTGAAAGAAAAAACATACGTTTAACAATCATATTTGGTGTTCGTCCAAGTAGAATATAATATAATTGTGCTGTCTCAATAAGAATATGATCACCGGCAAAACGTGCTGATTTTTGCCACCAAACACACTAAAAAATAGAAACATGTTCAACATTTTGTCTACAAAAAAGGTACATTCTATTTACCACAATAACTGGCAATACAATCATAAATATTCCAGCATACGTTAAGAGAACAAATACAGAATTTTTATGATCAACAAGCCATTTTGGTAGCGCAATACCAAAGTGAGTTACTAAAATGAACGATCAAATATATGTGGATTAAAGTTAAATCCATTCGTATCTATTTACCACCAGGTCCATCTGGATTACCATACTGTTTCCAATTATTTTTGGCCTCTTCATTTGTCAATGTTTTATAAGCTTTGGCAATTTGTTTCTAAAAGTTTTTTATAAAAAAGAAATAACATTAAAATCAGAAGAATTAATTACTTACAAACTGTTCTGGATCACCACCACGATCAGGATGATGTTTTTTACTTAATTCACGATAAGCACGTTTGATTTCAGCTACAGTTGCTTCCTAAAAATAATGTCAAGAAAGTTTTTTCCTATTGATATTATACAATCTACAAGTAACGAATAGATCACATTAAATGCTCTTTTCACTATTTTCGACATAACCGTTTTGCTTTATATCGCTTAGACACCAATTTTTTAAAAAGAAAAAATATTCCTCATTCAATTTTCTACAACAACGTATCAAAAGGTTTTCCATACGATTAAAAAAACGAGAAAACTTTCGCAGATAATACTACGAAACGTCAAGACGACCAATAATAAAATGTGTGCCTTTAAAATTGATCTGAATTTTTTTTCATATATTTTCATATTTCTGGAAAAATTATCATTTTTATTATGCAGGTTCGAGCCATTTTTCAGTAAAACGTGTATAATCAGAATAAATAGGACATTTCTGAAACGTTTGAATAGAATTATTTCTTCTAATGCAAAAAAGACCATTTTAAACCAGTTCTACAAACGTTCACATTTTTCATATGTGATCTAATTTAAACGAAGTTTACTATACATAGCAAGAAAAAGTACGCATAAATGTATTAACAAAATCTTACTGTGACGTATGACCATGGTTGCCTAATCAGTCAAAAACAAAAAAATTTTAGAACAATTTTAAAGGAAGACGTTTTATTATTGATCACCTTGACGTTTCGCAGTATTATCCATGAAATTTTTTCCTTTTTTTTAATCCACGAAAAACCTTTGGATATCTTTGATACTTTATTTTAGAAAATTCAATGAGAAATGTTTTTTCTTTTGGCATCTAAGCGAAAAAGAGTAGAAAAGTTTGTTTAGAAAATAGTGAAAAGAGAGCATTTAATTTGATCCACTACTCGAAGTTTAACGACAATATGAGTTAAGTGTACTAAGTAACATTTAACACCAATGAATTTATATTCATATTAATCTTGAACAACTATCCTTTCACACGCGTATATTTCAATTTTTTTTCCCCTTTTGTCACTTACTCTGTCTACTGTAAGTACAGCAAATGGATCATAATCTTTGTGTTCAGTTTCGATTAATGATACACGATAGGCTAATACAACAAATATAATCCATGCCATAACAAAAACAAATTTACTGAAATAATAAAAAAAAGATTAGTGAAAATGAGACGAATATGACAAAGACTCAGCTATCAGTGAGTGTATTTACATTGCTTTTAATCGAAAACGTCTAACTGGTTCACCAGCATTTAATAACTGATATTTTTCACGACATGGTGAAAAATTTGATTTATCTTCTGGATGTAGAGTTGTTTTTCGTTTTTCTTGCTTTGGCCATAGCCAATAGGTGGTCGGAATCAGTACTAACGCATAAAATGATAATAAAAAATAATAAAATTTACCACCATTTTCGTCATACTAAAATAATTGAGAAAAAAATAAGTAGATAACAGTCATGTATCATGTAGATGACAATAAAAACTATACAATGTCTATATTGAAAAAAGTCTATCTAACATAACATACCTCAAATTTCATTCCTGCCATGATGGAAATTTATTTTAACTGATAAACTATATTAAGAAATAAATTCATGTTTAATTAATCAGTCAGTCACACACAACATCCGAAAAAAATAATAATAAGCACGTTTTCTTTATACTCGTACTGATCAGATATTTCACTGAACGTGACTGTAAAAATGATATTAAAAACCTAAAATAAATAAAAGAATAAAAAGGATTAAACTTATAATGTTAAGATGTTAATATTCAGTAAAAATTGAAAAAAAAAAGAAAAATTTAAGAAAGAATCAGGTTTATACTGAGTTGTACAATATTTTTATTCAAATATAAGAGAAAGAGAAAAAACTATGATCTTGTCATAAAATAATTTCATTATTTTTGACAATTTCATTAGATCATTAAATAACTTTATTTTCAATAATTATTCAGAATCGATAAAATCTATCTTTCATCAGTTTATACGACACGTTGGTTTTGAATGAAACAAAATATGATAAAAATTTCTCTTTTACTGATACGATTTAAATCGTCTATTAAACAATTTAATTATTTACCTTCAAACGTGAAATTGCTCTACAAACATTCATTAATGTTTATTAAAAAGAAAAAAAACGACATAAAAAAAAAGAACAAAACGATCTAAGCAGGACAAAAATGTTCAAAAACAACAACAACAACAACATCATTCATCACTTTAAAAAAAAAAGTTTATTCTCAAATGCAAGATACACATAAACCATTGATATCAATTATTAAAACCAATAAAGCAAGGAAAAATTAAAAATTAGAAACAACAACAACAAGAACAAACAACCTTTTTAGTTTAGGATATACAAATGAATAACATAGAAAACAAAAAAAAATTGAATATAAGCATAAAAAGCATTAACATAAAATCACAAAAAAGGACACTAAAATGGGTTGATAAATACATAACGAAAAACAATGACAAAAAAAAGAAAAAATTGTTCATGGATGGTAAATTATTGTTTTGTTTGAGTTTTTAGGATAACAATACAAAAAACATGAGAGAAAAAAAAAGAGTTGAAAATTGATTATTTATCTATCACAATGACAACAAAATGAGATCTCGTTAATGGAAAAAATTAAGTCTTTTTAACTTTAATAAACACAGAAGATTATTATTGCACACAGAATAATGGAAATATTAATTAGGGTTTTTTTTATACAGAAGATTATAGTCCACAAAAAACAATCTCTTTTCTTTGTTCAACAAGCAGATTAAGTTTGCGAATCGAGTTTAAATTGTACAGACTATCATAAAGTTAACTGTGAAAGAGCAAACGAGAGAGCTTCAATTTTTTTTCCATATTATATCGAAGTAGTAAATGGACTAAGATCACTGAGAAAACTTTATACATATACACAAATACATAAAATCGAGATCATTTTATTTCGTAACTGTCACATTTTCAACTTTACGAACGGACGGGATGATACAAAAAAAAGCTCACAATTAGTACAACAGATTTAAAAAAAAAATGGACGATTAGTTTAGTCAATAGTCTTGTTTAAATTTTCACAAAAGTGAGAATATTTGAGAAAACAATAAGGAAAACAAAAAAAGGAAAGAAAAAAGAAGCAGGTGACAAAAAATAAGAAGAAAAATACATTATTGTTAGAGAAAAGATAATTTACGACATAAAAGGTAGAAATTTATTTTGTCTATTATAGTTAATCCGTTTGTCATTATTATTAACGATAATTTTTCATTAATTGTACAACATATTTCGAAGATATTTGACCAAAATGTGTATTCAAATAAGTTTTACCACCATTTTTTAACCATTCTTGTTCAAATTCATTTTCCAATATTTCAGCACCTGAAAAACAAAATAATAATCGATTAAAAAGAGAACAAAGACTAAGTTATCGACTTTAGATTTCCTTGTGTAACACATATTTTTCACGTCCCATATATTTCGAAGTGAAAATTAACAACATATTTAAGATTAGCAGACAAAACAAGGTCGAATGCTATATTTGACAAGTGTTTTTCAAACAAAAAAAATTTCATCAAAAATTTGTTCCTTGCCATTGCTGGAGTTAAGGGCGAAATTTAACTGAAAATATTTCACCTGCTGTTTTTCTTTTCTCCATGATTATATTTTGGCATGATTATGACGTACATTACTCGCAGAAAATAGAATAAAAAGAGTGACCTTTCGTTCTTCAAGCTTCTCTTCCCACATATGTTCCATTCACATCGGCATATTCTCCATGGATTTCAAGAGCCAAATTATGCCCATGTCACTTTGGGTGACACATCACTAAGATTTTAGTGCAGTTTCTGTATAAGAATAATATTTATAGGCTGAATTATAAATTTTTTCGGAGAACATCAAAATTTCAAAAGTGACTCAGGATCGTAAAATTCCTATATTTCAATAGCCATTAAGAGCCTAGGCTTCTATCATAAATAAAAAAGAGTTATGGCTAAATTTGATTTTAAAAATATTTTCATTCCTATTGGATCAAGAATTATTTGTATTTAATGAAAACGTTTGAAAAATAAATGTAGAAGTTTAAGGGTTAACAATGAATGTCTATACAATTCCTCCTCGCTTCGTACTGAGCTTTTTCTAAAAAAGAGGAATTAAGGAGGAATTGTAAAATCTTGAAAGGAGGAATGCCACCAAAAAAGGAGGATGCAAATTCTAAGTTAAAAACACTAATTACACAAATGAAATTGAAAATGAAAGCAAACAGATTATCCAATATGTTTTGGCTTTGTGAGAAGAAAATGGTTGTATATTACTATTAACGAAAAATACTTCTGGTGCAATAAGGATTGAGGTTACATTGTGGCTATCACTACAAGAACAGACGGTACTATGCTCGTGGCAAATATAAGAAGCAACGTATGATAATTAAGGCCTTAAGATGGCTCTTTGATCAAACGATATTGGAAAACTAGTCAACTTTGTCCAAAAAGGAACGATGCCAGAATTCATCGTATCGATTAAAATCAAACAAAGACATGTACCTTTTTTCTTTATCAGTCCGGTCTCTTCTAGACTTAATTCACACATGTTCATGTCATCAACACCTAAAATCAACATCGAAGTGAAATAAACAAAATTTTATGAAGAAAATCATTCACTTACCAGCCACTAATAAAACGGGCTCTTTCTCGGGATGTAATTCCATCTGTCTGGCTATCCATTTATCTAGAATGTAAAAATAGTGACAACTCACTGGTTGAAAATGCGATCATTTGTCATCTAAACATACCATCAAAATGGGCGTACCACCATCCTTTTTTTCGCTGCTCATTGCCTTCACGATTTTGATCAGTTGGACGCATAAAAGGAATACGAAAAAAACGTTGTTCATTTACTTTTTCGATTTTCGAATGTGTAGATAAATTTGATTTAGATAAAGTTGTTGTTGATGCTGCTGCTACACTCGTGTTTATTGGTTCCGCTAAAATATAAACTATCTATCTCAATTTCAAACAGAAATAGAGAGAAAAATATTACCTTTATCCATAATATATTTGGGTGCACGTTCATCATCCTCGTCGACTAATCCATTTTTTCCTTTACGATTTTTTGATTTCCATGAATGATAGACTTTCAAACGACGATGAAATTCTTCCTTACATGCAGCCAATAATTCAAGATCTAGATAGAATAAAAAAATCAAATTTCTATATATTTAGTGTGTAAGAGATTAGTATACCACAAGATGTATTAATTAAATCACGTATCTGTGCATAGGAATACTTCTGAAGATCATTCGCAGGTTTACGTAAAGGTCTAAATAAATAAGATAAAAATTATTTTATTTGACATTGAAAAATGGCATAGTAACAGGATAACACATTGTTTATGAATATTATCATTATATTTATCATTCATTATTGTATTAAGAATATTCGAGATTATATGAAAATAAACGATTCTTCTATCTGTTTCTTAACTACTTTGATATGGACACGACGTATCGACTATAGATATCTATCAATATTAATATTCAAATAAAATAAATCTTTACCTTATTAATTGCATTGGTTCAACTTCACCGTTTGTTTCTTGTGCCAAACGCATAGCTAATTCAAAATCCCGTCGTTCACGTTCAACTGATTCTCTATATTTTATATCTTCTTCTGTTTCTTTTGTTAACATACGATTTTGCTATACACATGAAAAAGAAAACGAAAGTATTTCTACTGATTCAAAGAACATCATATCTATCATTTTTCTTACATTTTCATCGCCCTTTCTCAGCATTATTTGTTCTTTTTGTCTAGCAGCCATCATTGATCTCCTAAATGGCAATAAGAAACATCGTATAGCTCAAGAAAGCGACAACTAAAATGTACATGAACCATTTCTTATAAAAAGATTTCTATAAGAACGATTTCTGTGTAAATTTCTCCTTCGTCGTTAGCTTACTTTTTAGAATCTTCTGTGTCTTGTATCGTTTGTTTTTCTTCATCTAATTTTTTCCGTTTTTCTCTCTCTAATTCATTTTGTATTTTTCTTAAACGATCTTCTTCTTCTTTAATTTTTTGTTGTTCTAGTACTTGTTTCAACGAGCGTAATTCTCGATCAACTGAAGCAAATAAATCAATGTATGCACTCTGAATTTGCTTTGAAGTCATTGGGGTATTCTAAAATAAACGCAAAAACAAAAAAAAAATAATCACACTGTCAATGAGACTGTATTTATCTTACACATACCATTATTTTTACAATTAATTCATCAATACGTTGTCGAAGTTGTTGCACTTGTTTAGCAGGTTGCTCTTTGTTCACCTTCATTTCGTTAATAATTTGTTCCATTGATGCTACTTGAAGATGAAGTGCTTTCACTTCGACCAAACCACGAATTCTAGTCAACAAAATAGATAAAATTATTTATCTGAATGAAATATTTCATTGAATTGTTTTGCTTAGCGATAGTTTGTCAATGAAAATGGCTACTGTTGTTCTATGAAGTATCATCTCAGATATCCTAACAACAACCCTTACATACTATGCACAACATAAGCTCGCTGGAAACTCAAATATATTAATCTTATTATCAGTTCGTAGCGAACTTATATTCTATATATATATACCAAGCATATATGTATAAGATGTAAAGGGGGAACGGGGAGGGTGCTTCTAGAAAGCTAAGATATCTAAATACCTAAGATACCCTAGATACCTAAGATACAAAAAGATCATAGAAAAATGAGTCCACAGCGAACTCAAATTGTGAGGTCGTGTACAATTTGCGTTCGCTGCGAACTCATTTTCTGTAACTTTTCTTTATCAGGTATCTTAGGAATTTACGGTATCGTACATAGGACTGTAAAAGTTTCCGTTACTTCTTCGGCCGTTATCGACAACGGTAACTATCAGTTAGTTAACTTTATGGTAACTACTTTTTAAGTATGCCAGAAATATCCACGCAGCAGCTTAAAATGGCTCCCAAAATCGTTAGTTTTCTAAAACTGTTGAAACTTTTATAAATGGCATGTTTTTGTAGTTTAATTTCGTTGATGAAAACAAAAAAGATTTCTCAAGCTGGCTGTAGACGCTGAGGTCTCCAGAGATCTTGAAAACCGCGGTTACAAAACATTGAACTTATAATTTCGGTTGGTTTAGTTGACTGGCACGTGTGTGCCAATCAACACCATGTCGTTTATGAACGTTTCAACAATTTTAGTGGAAAACTAACGATTTGGAAGTCATTTTAAGCCGCTACGTGGATATTTCTGACATACTTAAAAAATAGTTACCATAAAGTTAACTAACTGACCGTTACCGTTGGTTTAACGCTAACTGAAAAGACAGTTATAGTTACTTAACAGTTAGTAACGGTAAGGAAAAGAATATAAAGAATATAATAGCGTTAAATCAACTTTTACAGTCATAATCGTGAAACTACTTTTCGAACTCAATCTCAACCTCACCTCTCCTCGCCGTATGCGAATAATCCCGTACATGTGTCTTGCACACATATATAGAATATACTTCGCAGCGAACTTATATTGTGCATAGTATGCAAATTGTGCACGACCACAATACTTAATAGTTGAATGAAATATTGATAAAAAATTCTAAAGCTTAACTTTACCTTGGCGCATATTGTTTGTATACACGCCACATTCGAACACGGTTTTGTATTAGAATTAAACATTGTCGACGATAAATAATTTTATTTTTTACTAAAAAGACAACAACAGAATAAATGTCTTTTTGAAAAAACATAGAAATGTTATCGTAGAAAATGAGTACACATTGCACTTTCACCAATTTCACTGAATCTACCCGTATCATGCTAATTGAATAACAATTTTATATTGTTTTATAAAATACTTTCTTCAGCAAATACAAACGATAAATGGCTTCTATTAATGGCAAAGGACTACATCCTGTTAGATAGAGTATGTAGACTGACGAAGTTAATTGCGTTATTTAATTAAAAGCTTATTTTATGTGAAATATGCGTAACTGATACCCAACCATGAGCATCAATGTTGCTGAGGCATATTGATCAAAAAATAAAATTCAATAAAAATGACTATAACTCACGCTATTGCTAGCTAGCAAAAGAGAGAAACGCATTGAAACATTTGGAACTATACAAAAAATTATAAAAAAATTAAAAATAAATTATTGGTACATACGTTTAATAACAGATAATGCACACCATTGTGCTTTTTTCCATCTTGACCATAATAGCCATTTTTTTACTTTCGATATTAATACTGCAAGATTTGCGGGATCCGATTTCATTATTTGATCAAATTCAGCAAATTTTCCTGGACGAAAAAAGACTTTTGTTAAACCAAATTTAAAATCAGCATCTTTCAAATTTAATGCTTTAAATAATGCCTAGTAAATAAAATAAAAAACAAAAATATTTATAAATATCGATAAAACATCAAAAATTTATCTATAATTATTGTACTTTGCAAAATAAACGTGGATCTAAACGTGCTAATTCCTTTGGTAAATAAGATTTGTACATATTGTATAATTCAGAAAATTGAGTACGAGATGGAAAACCTTGTTGCATTAGATCTAATACCGATACCATTCCTAAATAAATAGAATAAAATTTTCGATAAATTTCATTATAAAAATTAAAATAAATTTTTACTTACCACTACATTGAAGTTGACTTAATATTTGACTACCTTCAAATAAATCCGAGACCATTTTTAAATTTGGTTTTACACAACGAATAAAATTAATGCCCTAAATTAACAATGTAAAATGTTAATTAGATAAAAAATTTCATTTTCAAAAATAAATGATTTCTAATCTTGATGTAAAGATTTTATAATCGATTATATAGAATTGTTACATACATATTTTGAGGAAAATAAGATAATCTTTGTGGCAAACAATATAAAAAAACCTATGCTAACTAGAGGATTGACCATAATAATTTGTGATCACAGTATTTTGACTATAATATTTTTTTGTTTTATTTACAAAATCCACTTAGTATGCCAAAAAATGTACCGTAAAATTCTCTACAAAAGGATGTACTTAAAATATTGAAAGATTTTTTTTTAATTAAAGTTACACAATGAAAAAATAGGAATTTATAGAAAGTAGTAAACTTTCTAAATATTAAAATGGCGATGATGTAACAAAAATCTGTTAGAGAATTTATATATGGTCGCATCAGTCTTAGAACAATTGAATGTCAACTCAAAATGATATGTACACAACAGACAATTGATATATCAAGCTTAACAAATTGTCCAGATATAGCACAAACAAAAAGAGTAATATAAAAAGTAAAACACAGATTGAATCATAAGAAGGTGTTGGATAAAGAATTGAACTCATCGAAAACCAGTATTCATCAATGGATGGGCGATTGTACAAAAATTATCCTGGAACATGTGTTAGTCGATTAACAAAAAGTCAACAGGACAAAATTTGTAAGATGGATCCTAAGTCATTACCCAAAGAGATGACGTCAGAAAATTTTCAAACGAGAAAATATTCAATATCGATGATGTTTATAATAGTCAAAATGATTTGTTAATCGTACTAAAAACAGAGCTGAACTTCATAAAAACCTTTTTGGGGTCTTTTGGCTTAACTGACTTGAAAAATCTTTTCGTTCACTCGATTTAGCTTGCGAAAGTCCTGACTTGTCCAGCTTTGCCTAAAGATGATAAAAGAAGTAGAATTTTAAGAAAATTCGTAAATATCTAGCAAAAATTATGATATTATTAAGTATTTATTCCAAAGGTTAACACTATTGGTAATTCTTGGTAAAAAATCGGTGAATGGTATATTAAACAAGTATTCTCAAAGACGATAAAATATGAAAACAAGGTGTTTGGCAATGAACGTTTCAGAAGAGCGATGCAGGCGCTCCCAAACATCATTTGGCGCAACAATGATGTTAAGAATTTACCATCATTTACACTTAGTCAGCTAATTTACTGATCTTAATTCATTGGATTATTGTATATGCAATGAATTAGTATAGACACTTTGAAGTTTCAAGTTTCATTTATTTAACTTAAGTCTAAGCAGAAAACAGGAAAAAGTTCTGGCTTGTAAATACTGCTCCCCAAAATCTTTCCAAATATGAACACACAAAAAAGACAAGATATGCAACAGTAGCAGTTGTTGTAATAAATAACAACTAAAGTTACAAGAACCGTTTTGTACATCCAATAGAATAATAACCATTTACATTTGAATTGATAATCGAGATGAACGTGTAGGCGAGCTTCAAAGATCGTTAGAGAAACAACAACAACATTTGAATTGTCAGCATAATCAGGATTATTAATGACGTGTTGCGGAAGTTTGTTCTACTCATCCACTGTTAGATAGAAGAATGATCACTTTACACTTTTCTTTGATATGAAAGGAACAAGCACCGAGAAAGAATTTAAGTTTAATCGAAAATTGACTTTTGTATAACGCATAGAAATGATAGAAAATTTAGATAGATGAAAGATGTCGAATAACACTTTATAAAAGTGCAAAAAACGAACGTAGCATCTACGGGAAACAAGATCTAGCAACTTTAGTGTACGGAGAAGATCATCACTGTTAGAAGTCACACTAAATCATACGGGCTGCCAGCCTGTGCGTAGAAGCTAGCCTGGAATAGAAAGAAGTAAACAAACTGTCGATGAAATCAATAATCACACAAGAATTAAAACATAGTACAATGTTTGATTATTTTACTAAACGATTGTATCATATTTTGAGCATTGAGAAAACTTCTGTATGATGAATAACATATACTATTTCGTAGAGAATTTTACGATGCCATCGTTTGGCATACTAAGTGAGTTTTGTAAACAAAAACGAAAAAATGTTATACTCAAAATAGGGACACCACAATTTATGATGGACCATTCAATACATGAAAAAATTCTTTCTTTCAATAAAAAAACGAAATTTATGCAGAAATTAAATTTAAAAACAAAATTTTTAGCCTGAGAAAAATGTCATTGTGTAATAAATAAATACTCACATTATCATGTTTATAAAGTTTTGTGTACTGTACATTATATACATACAATACACTGAATAAATTTCAAATATTTTAAATTTTATTTTGTTACTTACTGTACTACGTAATTTAGTCATTAAATCGGCTAATTGTGATCGAAATTTATTTCCTACACTAATAAAATTTAATTTTCCAATTTGTAATAATTCTGGACTATCCGCAAATAAATTTTTCACAAATGAATTTTTACATTCTTGAATAAGAACAATCAACGAAGCATGTAAGGCATCATTATTCTTTTCTAAAAATTGTCCCTAAATAAGAGAAATAATAAATATAAAATAAGTTACAAATATTAGTTAAACAAAGATAATATATGATTTTTACCGTTGAATAAACAACACCACCAGCGTAATGTCGAATCAAAAAACCTTCATCATCTCGAATTTCACGATTTGAACGTAATTTTGATTTACGTGGAAACTAAAATAACAAAAGAAAAAAAATTAAATTAATGATACTATGTTATTTAACATTAATAATGTACTTACATCTAATCTTGGATGTCCCTTGTTTCGATTATGTACTTCAGCTGTAAAATGATCTGGTTTCGGTGTGGGTAATTTACTTTCTTCATCTAATAAATCGAATGCACCTGTTATTTTAGCTTCAATCAAATCTAAATATAAAAACAAGAAAAAAAGTAATTTTATAGAATATACAATAACAGAACAAAACGCACACAATACATGCAATAATAGTTTTCAAAAAAAGTCATGCTTAAATGAATAAAGTATACAAAACAACGAAAAACAAATTTCTATTCTGTTTACAACGATACTTTATAGCATAGGCCTATTACCTTATTATTATTTTTTCTTCTACCACCACAAGCAAATCCTTACATAGACAAACTATTGATCTCATTTATTACATGATTCAATAGATTTATTTGTGATGTACACTATTTTCACTGACTATTGCACGTAAACTAGCGTTCAAAACCACTGGAAAAGACAATACTTCGATTATGAAATGAGAACTATGATATAAATAACCATACAAGTCAATCGTGATACATGGGTATGTGGTAATCGAATACTGTAAAGCGATTTGAGTTGGTTCCCGAAATAAAAGATCATGATGGTTTTCTACTCTGAGAGAGTAAAGTCAAAACTTCTAAAAGTTATGGTGTGTTACTGGATGCTCCCAAAAATGTGCTAGCGGTGAAAAATGCATATATGTATTTTTTTTTAATAGTGTTGACAATTTTCTAAACTTTTTCCAACATCACTGTGAGAGACTCGATTTTCAAATTCGGACTTAAATGTTAAAAAAGCACTGATTTCTAAAAGTTTCCCGTTTATGAATTTAAAATAATCAGAAAAATAATAAAACAAAATGTGTATCAGCTAGTGAAAATATGAGTTTACTTCGATTTGAGATTATCCTAACATTTTCAATATTCAAAATTATTTATAGGATTCATTTTGCCTCTTGTAACTACAGTGTTAATGTTAATAACATAGTATCATCAGTTCAATCGTTCTCTCGTCTTGTTTTCCCAAAAGTTTCGGATGGATTATAGGTAAAAAGCTGTACATATTCGTCTCAAGATTTTATCTAGTGTAGAGCGTGCATGATTTTTAAACCGAAAAGCATCCCTAAAAAAACTGGCTTATCAATCACAGCAATCCACCGTTAAAAATAACCTACCCTGTTGTTTTTATTCTGAAGAAGAGACGAATCGTACATTGATATTACAGAATAATAAAGCAAAAAAATTTCACTTACCTATGCAATCTTGATTATCAATATAACTAATTTTTTTCAAACCAAGACCTTCTTTCTCATACAATGTTTGCTCCTAAATGATACATATACATACACAATGAGAATAATAGCAATAGATATTTGTTATATAATGCGACAGAAAAAACTATTGAAACTATTTTTGCTCCTTCACTATTGCTTAACTAACTAATGCAGAATTATTTATTGCAGTTGACATAATACCAAGTAGTACAGATGTTAGCCGATCTACAATGTAGCGGCCGTGTGTAAAAGTGAAAACATAATCGAAAATGGCTAATATCTTCACAAGCTATTATATATTCATCTGTTTTAATAGTTTAAGTTTCAGAATGATATAATGGGAATTTATATTCTCGATTTCATTCTGGTTCAAGATTAAAGCTTAAACCAAACCTGATAATTATAAGATAGATATTAGCCTATGTATATTATTCTAAAAAACGTATCATATGCCAATGTAAACGTTTGTATACCTCTTTAAGAATTCTTTCATTGAAAAATTGTTGTAATTTTTCATTGCAATAATTAATGCAAAACTGTTCAAAACTATTTATTTGAAAATATTCTAGAAGCAAAAATATAAAGGCAAAATAGTAAAATTAAAAAAATAGCTTTTATGTACTTACCAAAACCAGCAATATCTAATATTCCAATGTAACTAACTGATGAACTGAATGGAATGGATTTATTAACAAGACTAACAATTTGATCAAATAATTTTACGTATAAAGCTTTGGCTAATGCATCACGAGCTCCTTGTGATTCATAAACTTTTAACGGGACACTAAACAAATGAAAGAGAATGATAATTACGTAGTTTATCTATAGAATTATATCAAAAATAAAGAAATACTCACGGTATAACAGTTCCATGTCGGCTACTACTTGTTTTTGTCATTAAAACACGTGTTATTAATGCCATTCGAAGATCTCGAACTTCAAGTCCAAGCATTTCAGCTGTTATTGCCAATGACTGTTCACCAGATGCCGTTATTTTACATCCACCTTAAGAAAAAGAAACTCATCATTTTCTAATATATTAAAAAAACATGAATTTTTACCTTTTGTACTTTCCGGATCATCTTCAAAGCTAATGTTTCCTAAATGTAATACAGCCGCTACTGTACTATAAATATTAAGTTTATCTTTTGAAGTTAATCCAATATGATCCATTGATCTATCACATTCCATAAAATCATTGGTATCATCTAATTGTGGATCACGTAAAGGACCCTTAGAAACAAACTAAAAACAGACAAAAGACATAAGTTAACGACGTACAAATGAACAAAGATACAATAGCGTATATCATAACAAAATCTGAACGTAAAAAGCAAGGTAACAAATTCGATAACGAAGAAGAAGAAGAGGACAACATTTTTATTAGACGGCTATGACTTACAGATGTTTGAGATGACTAAAAAATGTTGCAAAAAAAGTATATTCTTTCTGCTTTTTACACAATAACTAAAACGAGATGAGAGTCGGCGAAAAAATTATTAGGATTAATCAAAGAACACTTTAATGATGCTAAAAAAATAAATAAACGATTTGTTATTCATGTCTCGTTTAAATTCATCAAAAGAACGAGCGGTGATAGTCTGAGTTATTTTTTTTTCTAAAATTATTGAAGTGATATACGATCAAGTGATATGTGAAGTTCATACAACTAAATTGACTAAATATTTCACGAAAATTTGTGTGAATGATCTTTATAGTTCAGAACTCTCTCTCGTAGACCCTCTTGAGTTCTTTTCTTTTTGTGTAAAAGATTCACCATTCTATTCTCTACACAAAGCATATCGAACATGTTTCTAGATACTGTAAAAACACAAAAAGTATAGAGAAAATACACTGTGAGCCGCGAATCGCAATTTTCTAGCACAAAACATAGTTTTTTCAATTCTAACTTTTCATATTTTAGGAGATAAAAAAGCAGAAATGTTCAATATGCTTTTTGTAAAAGAAATGAAATAACAAATATTTTTACACACAAAAAGAAATGAATTCAAGATGTTCTAAACGAGAGGAAAAAAACTTGAAAATACGAAGATTAGCATTTCTTCTAGGGGTGGCAGCTTTTCTTTACTGTGTCGTTACTTTACCAAAAAAAGTAACGCTTTGAGTTATCACCGTACAAGTGATGAGTAACCGAAAGATTATTGTTTTATGGCCTCCCGAATACCGGGCTACAAATGCGTTACTATGTTACGCTTTATAAGTGACGAGTAACGCAAGCGTTAATACGTTACTGGTAACGAGTAACGCATGCGTCATTGCGTTACAAAAACTGTATGTAACGCAGTAACGCTTTTTGTAAGAGTTGACTAGTAAACTTTGTTCCAGGTAATAATATGAGTTGCCGGTGAGTTCCTCTGTGCGGGCATGTGTTTCTCGAGCTTGCCGAGCTTGCCTAGAAGCACGGTCAGCTCTTGAATCAGTAATACAGATGGGACTTTATCGTTACTAACGCAAGTAAAGTAACGCAAAAGCGTTACTCGTTACCAGTAACGCAATAACGTTGGCGTTACCCGTTACTAGTAACGCAACAACGCATGCGTTACTCGTTACCAGTAAAGCAGTAACGCATGCGTTACTGCATTACTTGTAAAGAAACGGCAAAGTGCCACCGCTAATTTCTTCTGAATTTAGAATCCGTTATTAATATAGTTCAACAAAACTATCGACGGAAGTAAACTAGATGTTATCACAAATAGTAAATATTCTCACTAAGAATGAGATTAGAGCACACAGTCCGTCTAAATATTATTTACCTCACGACTTCGTCTATTTTGTGATAATTGTTTTTCAGATTGTGCATTACAAAAATACTGTGTACAACCACGATTTAGATACTAAATATAGGAAAATAAATTGAATAGTATATAAAAGAAGATATTAAAAAACATCTTACATGAAAACTATCCGGTGAACCTAATTTTAAAGCACTTCGAACACTTTCTGGTGCACCAGCGCATAAACGATAGAATATATGATAATTTCGTTCATCTTTACTTTGACCACAAATGCGACTTTTTTCCAATAAATAATGAGAAATATAACCACCTACAACTCGTTGCTAAATGAAGAAAAAAAAAAAATATATATATGTACATTTACATTCAGTTTTAAAGTGAAAAACAAAATATTAACCTTCTCATTAAAATGAATTTCAATAAATTTTCCAAATCTACTTGAATTATTATTTCTCGTCGTTTTTGCATTTCCAAATGCTTCGAGCAAAGGATTAGCTGTAAATAAATAAAAACAATGATATTAAACATAGAAATTAGAGAGAAAATTTTCTATAATCTTTACATTTATTAATTCTGTCTTCTATTTGACCACTATGTACTCCATACGATTCGGTAAGATACTGTAATACATATTTAGCTGACTCCGTTTTACCTAAAACAACAAATAATCAATTTGATATACGTCTTATATTCAAAAATTTTGATTACCAGCGCCCGATTCTCCAGAAACAATAATCGATTGACTTTGACGAAGAGCACGCATATCACGATAAGCTTTATCACCTAAAATTAACATAAGAAATCAATATAATTAATTAATAAACAAAATGACAGATGAATGACTTCTATTTGAATTAAAGATTGTATATAATTTTTGTGTAGTCAATTTATCAACAAAGTTATAATTAAAAATATTTTGTACGAATACAACCAAGATAGCTGAGCAAGATATATTTCTTCGAACAAATTACATCATACCTCTTTTTTTTAATACAAAACATTGTATATAATGTTTTTCTTACAATGTGAGTATCATAATTATATTCCGATTTGTCTAGGGTTTAACATTTTTTAGTATTAAGTTTAAATTGACTTGTTTTTATTGACAGTCAGAGATTATTATTATTAGAAAACTGCTTACCAATAGCAAATACATGCGGTGGCATAACACCCAACGACTTTCCATTATATTTTTTAACTGTTTCAATTGAATATAGTCCTTGTAGATCTTTATACGGATTAATAGCGATGAGAATATTGGCAACATATGTCTAAATTTAAATAAGAAAGAAACTGATAGTTATTGAGATTCATATGATGAAATAATAAAATAAGAATTTATACATAGATATTGTCTTTTTTATATCTTAATTTTAAATTATTCAATAATGTTGCTTCATTCAAATACATTAATGCACCTAAAAATAATTAATAGTAAAATGTCATTGAAAACTTCTTCATCAATTAGTAAAAAACTCACAGTTATCTGCAACATCTTTATCATATTCTTCAGCTGCAAAGACAGAGTCGTATGTTGTTACTACCGTCTAAAAAGAATAAGAATAATAACATTAATTAGTAGCTTCAAATCCTACGACTTTCTATTTTGAAAATTCTACAAAGATTCGTTGATTTTAGCTCTATACCTTAATTTGTTTGAAATACCGTCAACTATCATAAATTCTCTCCTCTTATCTCGGGAGAAAATCAAATCATTATAAAATCTGTTGTGAGTTTTTATAAGTAAATCAAGTACTTCGTAAATAAGTCAAAATTACTTTCCGTTCTTCTCAAATACTTGCTAAAGTAATCTTTAATCACTTATAAGAAATAAATTAAAGATCTAGTAAGTATTTTTCTATACTTTAATCAGTAGTTACCAAGTGCCATTTACTTAGCAAGTGTTTGTCAAGTATTCGTAGAAATTCATTAGTAAATAAATATCTGCTCGATAGTCCATTCACAAGAGGCTATGGATAAGTTTTTATATTATTGAGAAAAATAGACATACTTTATTATTTGGATGCAATTGTACGCTAACACTATCTGAACCAATATCTGAGATTCGTCCCAGAATAAAACCATGATCAACATCCCGAACCCAAACTTTTTTTGCATTATTAAACATTTTGCCGTCGTACCAAACGACGGTAGTTACTTTTAATCAATTCGGTATTCGAACTTTTAGTTTAATTATCTGAAAAAGACAAACAAAAACAAATAACTGATCTCATTGGATATTGTAGTATGAGTTTGTAAAAATGTTTGTCTTTATTCTATCATTTATCGTAGATTCTTTAATCGAACGGTCAATGATGAACAAAATGTCTTTCTTTTATTTACATTCAACATTGAGGAAGGAGGAATAAAATTTAATCTACTATTAATCATACGCAGTTTTCTTCTCTTTTTTTTTGTTGTGGAAAGAAATAGAGAAAAGAAACGGATGAGTAGAATATGAAGTAAATAAATATTTATCTATCTATCTATTTGCATATGAATAAACAGAATGGATCTAAACAAACAGTCCCGGAAATACTATCACGTGGTTAAAAATCTTGTATTATTTTATCAATGATAAATGAGACAATGCCCAAAAACATATGAATAAAAAAAAAGATTTGATGACACTGATCTTTTGTGTTAAGATATCTTGATCATTCACGTCAGCGTCTTGTCAGAAGTTATCATGCAGTTTTTGCTGCCAAAAATGGCCGATATAATAATAAACCAACCATCATCGTAAAGATTGAGCAATTTAATTGGTTGAACTATGTGATGTCGCTTTCATCTGGCTAAAAACAGTTTTCATCAATTTGTTTTATTTATCTGATTTTTAGAAAGATCTTCACATAATTGGGCAGAATCGACCGTTTATTTTATGAAAGATGCGTATTTCAATCAACAGTTAGTGTCTATATCTAACGTGAATGTTATTAACATTGCTTTCGGCAGCAGCTGTAGTTTGTATTGCAGATAACCTCTGACAAGCATCTGAACACTACTACACGACATATTATTCTCAGACTGGATTGGCACTGTAGTATCAGGCTGGACAGTATCAGTATCAATCAATGGTTTGTTCCCGTCGGTTAGCAACCCTGGATGAATAAGTAGCGTATGCCGAACCGTTGTAGTGAGAGCGTTCTTTCTCTCGTTATATAAAGTTATTTTTCGACAGTCGCAGTATAAAGAATATCTTGAATGACTTCAGTTTTTGAATTTCTTACAGTATCCCTCTTTGACTTTGTGGAGGCTTTTGATGAATTTCTTATTTGTCTGAGCAACAACTACGGAATTATCAAATGGTAGCAATGATGAAGACGGCAAAACCATATTTGAAATAAAACTGAACTATTCCTTTCAGCAAGTGCATTTTTACTGTATAAAAACAAGCAAAAGATAAGCGTTTCTTTTACTCTAGCTAATACCCAAAGAAATTCGCATCATCCTAATCATGAAGCATGGTATGTAGTTACAAGTCTTCGTTCCGTTTATGATACTGGATTTCGGTACCGTGACAGCTGAACTCGTGTTCGATTATGTTCAGATATGAAATTAAAGGATGAATTCATTTGAGATAAATATTAGAGAGATTGCTCGTTGATGAAAAAGGCTTGCTTACAATTTCTGTAAGCACTTATCGTTGGTTTGGTTTTAACTTTAATCTCGAACCAGAACGAAATCGAGAATATAAATTCCCATTATATCATTCTGAAACTTAAACTAACAAAACACAAAATCAATAATCTAGCATCAATAGCTCTTATCGTTACATTTTTTTACATAAACTTTTCACAGATTCTTGTAGAAAATTCATTCAATGCCGAATCGTCTAAAATTTAGATAGATAATCTTGATTTCACGACTTACAAAAGATGGAAAATCAGAGTATCTTCAAAGATAAATCCAAAATTGTTTATATCCATCTGCTTTTATCTTCTACTTTCATCAAAAAACTTTAATCTACGCATTTTAAAGTATCAAAAAGATGTATAAATTTAAGAGAAGTTTTTCTGGTGTACTTGAAGCAGGATGGTCGTGAAACATGAAAAGCAAGTTATTATGATTCTTTTTGGAAAATAACCTGACGAAATAAATTCACACTTCAAAAAGCATTTTAATTACATCGTGTTACGAATAAGAAACTTTTTTTTAGGTTTTAGTAGGTGAACTGTATAGTCTCCCGGTCGTGTAAAGTAGTACCACTAAATGTGTCATAATCTCACTTCTTCCTACTCTTGTCGCCACTCTTAAGTACAAGTTAAATCTCTTTTATGCAGAAGTGTTTCAAACAAAATACTTAGATGTTTAGTTCGTGTATCGAACGATTTTTTGTGATACTTTATCTAGATGTTTTGGGTAAAGTATAGCTACGTTGCTCGATATACTGCTCAATGCATCGACATGCAGAGGGCAAAACAAAACGGTGAATGTTAGTTCTGTCCAGTCACTAGAAATATCTTTCGAACTTGCATCTAGATACATTAACCGATACTAGAATAACTTGATATTCCATCCAAAGGATCTAAATATAGCACCACAAAAAAATGCTATATCTAGATCCATGGAGCGATGCAAAATGAACAACTTGTTGCAGCGCGAGTAAAGGGCAGCCAAGTTCATAGAACTCTATATTGATAAAATTTTCAAGATTAGCAGAAAGAAATTAGCATCGAGTTTTTTTTCCAGTTTCTGAAATTTCAGAAATTCTGAATTAGCCATTCCACGAATTTAGAATTAGCATCAAGTATTAAGAAATAAAAATCAAAATTTTTCTTAATTCAAAGAATTCAAGAATTCATAAATTGAATGCATCTTTTTTCAATTCGAGACAGATTCAGGAATTGACAGACATCTTTTAGTTTTTAAATTGAAAGAGTACAATAATTGAAAAGTTGGACATGTGATTTTTTATGGATGTCTTGAATTTGAAAACGTCAAAAATTTTGTGAATTTGTATGAAATCTGTTTGAACTCACATATTCAGAATAGTCATAAATCGACGAATTGCGGGCATCAGAGTGGTTTGTAGTGTATGATTCAATATTGGGTAGCGGCTCACT